AAWKGRAAAAAAGGGAGTCCAAAACAGATTTCTCACTTAGGAAAGTGTTTTGATCGMCTACTTACTGGTCTTATAACATCGCTTGCATGATCCCATATGGGAATTATACTGCATGTTTGTTCAAAGTAAATACTAATAATTAATACTATAAAAAATCTCTTGTGTAGAGGAATAAATAATTTAATATGATTTCAAACAAAATATAAATTGCTATATTTGCCAATAAATTAGTAGGACAGTTAATCTTCAAAGATGGTTTTGTTCAACAAGAAAAATCTAATACGCTGAAGGTGAAAAAAAAATTATGGATAAATTAATTGCAATTTTTCACTCATGAAACAAATAAAAAACATGCCAATTCATTGAAGCATTTCATGGTCTGTCACTAATTCCTGACCTGCTAATCAACTATACTTAGCTAAAGACACAGGAATTGCTTATTCCTATCAATTTCTGGAGTGATGTTGCTTGTCGCAAAACCTTCTGAAAGGATCATTGGTATCCATTTCAAAAAAAAATATGGTTGTCAATCAATCACTTGTCCAAAGCTAAAGATAAATGTCTCCAGAAAGATATGTATGAATTGGAAAAAAAATTGTTGGCTTTAAAAAGTTACTTGCATATCATCAAAGCTAAGACTGAAAGGATCATGGAACGGCAAATAATTACTACAGTGTTGTGAATGTACTAATATTTCAGTTCGCAGACACTGTTGGAACTAAATAATCAACACCTCCCATAAAAAATAACTTAAAACGTTTATGCAAATATGATTTACAATTCTGAGTACCCAAAATCCCCTTGGGTCTTAGCTTYCATGAATTCACCTTTTTGAACCTGACAACCTTTTTTCAATTGGATATAATTCACTGCAAAATACAACAGTGAAAACTAAAGGATCAAGCTACAATTCTACAGTTTCACTCAAAAACCCATTCACGCAACTGTTTCCTAGAAAAAGTCTTTCATAATAAATTAATCAAATTACTGAGCCAAAACAAAAGTGTTCCACTTGTTCACTCGAGGATCATAATACTCCATGGTTTTGAGAAATGCAGAACCATCAAATCCACCCACGGCATAGGCCATACCTCCTACCACAGCCACGCCCACATTATGCCTGGACGTGTTCATACTTGCCACACAAGTCCAGGTATCAGTTGTAGGATGGTAGCATTCAACAGTATTGAGAAAGGAGGTTCCATCATAGCCACCAATCACATACAGGCACCCATCAATGGCGGCTGCTGCAGCACCTCTACGGGCAGTCTTCATTGGCGCAGTCGGAGTCCACCTGGCAGTGACAGGATCGTAACACTCCATTGAGTTAAAGTATGTCCATCCGTTGTATCCACCAATGGCGTAGATCTTACCATCCAGCGCTTCAGCACAGAGGTTGTCACGGCCACAGCTCAGGGGGGTGATGGCTTGCCAGTCATCTTCGGAAGGATTGTACCTCTCAGCCGACTTRAGATTATGAGAGTCAGAGTAGCCACCAATAGCATAGAGATGACCATTTAAGACTGCTGTTCCAAAGCTACTACGGCAATAAAGCATGGGTGCTCTTTGAGACCAAGTATCTGCATTAGCATCGTAACACTCGACAGAGTTTAAATCATTGCTTCCGTCTGAACCCCCAATGGCATACATCTTGTTGTCAAGGACAACTAACTCAAAGCGCCCCCTTTGGCAGTTCAGGTGAGATGCTGGCATCCATTCATTRGTCAAGGGATCAAAGACTTCCACAATGTCCAAGCAAGCACCTCTGTCATAGCCACCAACTGCATACAGCTTCCCATTAAGCTCAGTAGCCCCAACACTGCAGCGACCTTGAAATGCAAGACACAGTATCTCATATTTTTGCTGAATGCATATTGAAAGTGTCGAGCTATTACACCTAAAYTAAATGTAAGAATTGTACAATCTATGACAGATTTAATCACACAAAATGTACCAATGCAATAAATTAGTTTTACTGCCAACAGAAAGGCCCTGCTTGTTCGATACTAATATGACTAGATCCAGATCCTATACTAGACAAAAATATACCCTATCCTAGACAAAATATCAATATAMTATCAATACTCTATGCCAGACCACAAAGATTAGGCCTGTTTTCACATTGCTGTCCTGCTGTGATTATTATGGCTAGAAATGACACCTTCACAAAGGGACTGAAACTTTACTGCCCATATTYCTCATACAGTCAACTCTCTTGTAAGTGACCTTGGGATCAGGAAAAAGTGCTTGCTTATGAGAGATGGTTACAATATGGTTACAACTTTTGTAGGGCTGTCAATGATATTGAATCTCTATAGCGTGGTTTTCATTAACCCATGAAACACACTTTAGTGTATTTATCGCTATTACACTTTGGTCCTTTTGYTTTTTATTGTCTCTACGTGACTATTACGATCTATTACACTCTAATTATTACACTTTGTTTCACGGCTTTATGAAAAACACACTAACAGTTAAAGATACGCAGTAAAGCTAACTTAAGGACGATTTTAACACCACAAATTTTGCCTACGACCATTGCAGGCAACCTGCATAAGTCATCCTTACAATCTAACTACAACTGTTGTAGGGATTTGAAACAATTGCTTAGTAGCCTCACGGCAGATTTAACCATGTTGTATGGCTGACCAATGGTTGTAGGAAAAAGTTGGATCGTCTTATTCAGCCTTTGGTCAGGTTTCATTTACTGATGGTTGTAGGCCAAAGTTATTCATCTAATTCAACCTAGACTACTTGTAATCAATACTTACCTCGGCTCATTGAAGCAATTAATGACCAGTCTTCATAGCCTGATGACTCACTTGAAGTCGAGTTATGGCATGAGTTATTTAGCGGTGTATGGATCGACACTGCAATCACTTTACCATTGGCCAAAGCATAACCAAAAAAATCACTCTCAGAGCTTTGGATAGCAGCAATTACTTTGAAGGAGCCYGAMACCACTAATGAAGTCTTCTTCTTTCTGTTGTTATTTGCTTCCAGTATCAAAATCCCTTCRTCATCACTRCTACTTCKGCTATCAGCCTTGAYGTAGTGCTCTGTGGAGCTATTGCGTATGTATTCCTTTTGAGCCTCKGTTGGAATGAACTTTTCTGTATTGCTGTCAAGATCTTCCAGGGTACATTCTTTCAAATGGCCCTCAGGTGTTAGGTACATTATATGGGTCTGTTCCAAAAGCCCACTGATATTTGTGTCCTCATTCTGAAAATAGACCATTATAGTGATATTTCAATCTTCAGAAAGATAGGTACATTATACACCCTTTTAATAAGTCCCGATGTATCGAGTTCTCCGCACTTGACGTCAAATTTATTCTTTTGAAATTTTTACAATACAAAAGGAATTCAAAAGAATAAATTTGACGTCAAGTGCGGAAAACACAATACCTCRGGACTTATTAAAAGGGTGTATATGGGTCTGTTCCAACAGCCCACTGATATTTGTGTCCTCATTCTGAAAATAGACCATTATAGTGATATTTCAATCTTCAGAAAGATAGGACTTTGTCCATGGACTTATTTTATGTCACTACACATGTATTATCTGAGCTAAAACTTTACAATGGAGAAATTATACACAACAAAGTCAACACATAGCATTGACTGTTTGTTTTTTTTTTAATCAAAAATCGCTTCCAAACATGCTTATAATACATGCTTATACCAGGGGTTCAAAATCTCATCAGAGAGTCTGGGCACTAGAACGAAAAAGTCTAAAAAAGATCTTTTCTTCAGTTAGTACTGCCTACAATATTTCGTAACAAAAGATAAACTGTAGTATTGCATGAAGAACAAACACAATAACCTAAAAATAATGTGTAAAATTTCCCAGGTTTTACTTTCTTGTAATGACGTCATGCYGCATAATTCATCCTTTTCTCCACATAATATGTGGAAACATTCCACATAATTTTGATTTGTTTTTTTTTGCACAAAATTCCGACATGCCTGTATATGAAAACATAAGAATCTATTTTAACAACCATCACAGCCTAAATTTCCTGTAAATATTCTATTGACAAGAAATTATTTAGTCTCAATAATGGCATAAACATTGTTTTCTTTTCAAGCTTAAAGCTGGGAGCAAATACTTTCGACATTCACATTTTGTTAAACACATTGCTTGATCTCTGTAGAACATTTGTTGAACTTTGTTGAATGGTGGGTGGCCATTGCTTCAACATTTGTTTGTTTTTGTTTTGTGACATTGATGAAGACGTTTGTGCTTGGCTTTCATTATGTTTGATTGACAACTAGAGTGAATATTGCTCAGCCTCTTGCACTACATTCTTAAAATAACTATGCATGCAAATGACATCAACATTTTTGAGAAGAAAAGAAATGTTGAAAAAAACTGTTAATGCTTTTAAATGGATTCAACCTAAATTTGACACATTTCAACAATTTTCAACCTCTGACAAACGCATTTGACACTGCTATTAAACAAAGTAGCATGAATGCTGAAATTCTAACTTTTGTATCACATACACTTACTTGTCTGAAAAATGGAATTATAACAGTCTGTTTAAAGAACCTTCATAGTCTCAACTTCATGTAAGACTACTAATTCCACTTTAAAACTGTAAAAATATTCAAGCCCTCGAATGCTCGATTTTCTCACATTTTCTCAGGTAACAACTCAAATCTTATATTTTGTACAATTAAATGAAAAAATTCAGACAACAGGGGAGCTCTGTGTTTTTTTGCTCTTTTTTTACTGTCCAATATTGACATTTTAGGAATTCTTATATTAGAGAGTTAAAAGCATCACATTTACGGCAAACAGCTAATGGGCAGAGCTGAACCAATGACCTAAGAATTTTGTGCCTGACCTTGTGCTTTTGGTAGTCATCRATTATGGCAACTGCAAARCCCACTTTCGCGTTGAAACTSTAAYGGTAAACCCCCMAAAAGYAGGTCACATAATCTTTTCTGCTGTTTGCCGTAAATGTCATGCTTAAGCTCTCTATTGTCATTGTCTGGAGAAGACCAAAATGTATCAAAAAGTATCATTTAGAAGAATATGTGTTCAGAGCTGCATTAATGTATCCCACATGGCAGGGTGCTGATGAAGGATTTGATAATTCTATGTAGGTGATGATGACCTCTCCTTGGAAAGAGCTTAAAGTGTATCACTATTCTCTATCAGTTTATTAAAGCCCTACACATGTCAATCAAATCAAATTGGCTCACGAGGCTGTTTGCCTGCCTCTCTTTTTGTAGATCTATAGATAATGTTAGGTAAACTGTGAAAACCATCACGACATTGGTGATACCTTTGCAGTAGTAAAACCAAGTTAAAAATTGTAGTCTGAGATTTCAAGGCACATCTGACTTTCAAAGCTTCAAAAATGGTTTATAATTCCATTACTGGAAAAACAGACTTGGTCTCTAAGTATAGCTCTTTCTTGGTGATTAAAAGAATTAGAAAAGTCAGAGGCAGTTGTTGTGATCGTCAATGCATTATGTTGTATATGAATAGCACAGAAAAACAACTCATTAGGATACGAACCCTTGGTGTGCTATATTCATTAGAAGTGTTGCATTATGAATTTAACGYATTGTTTTTGCGTTTATTAGTATAAAGCCCTCAAGGAAAACCAAGAGAAATGGCTTAATATATAATGAAAACGTGTAAAAGTTAAAATTAAAAGTGGCATATCATAATCCTAYGTTTTGATGAAGATCACAACTGCAAAACATATGGTTTCTTATAAAAGAATTGTTCATTAAGATCGAAACTTTTGTACTGCAACAACTCAAAYTTTCAACATATTTTCGACATTTAAATTTAAYTCATAGTTTATTTGATGACATCAGATGGAGTGCTTCATATGCGATTCATTTCAACGCGAATAAAACACATTAACACAGAAAAAAAATGTAATCAAACACAATTTCAGAATCAGACAATAACAAATTCTATAAATGTCGCCACGTTATCATCCTGTCGATATTTCTACATCAAACAATCATGTACTCCGGAATTGATATCTCCATCGAATCGTCCTTTGGAGTAAAGGAATTCAAACCAAAAAATACCATGTGTTTTAGCGATGAACATTTTTGCCGCGAAATTTTGCGCGGGAATTTACATATTTTAGGTCGACTGGATCGGAGCGAATATGAACTGTACAAACATTCGATTGGTATTTCGCAACTAATACTTTGCCTCGAATCGTGTGCAATTTATTAACGATCTTATAATTTTTTACATTTTCCTTTTTTTTAACTAAGATGATCTTTATACGATGCAAGAAAACAGTCGAAAGTGGAATTTTGTACTAGATGGACCTTCAAGCGGAAYAATTTATTTTTATCAAAAACAAACAGCTGGAGTTTATGATCAAGAATTTTTAAATATTCATGTATGGTTACATCGAAAAAGAGCAAGAAATACAATGTCTTATTTAAAATTAAAGATTCTAACCTGGAGTTGCGAATGGACCCATTCGACGGCTTTTTCRCAAATTTTTCGCGGTTCRATGTTTTCGTTGATATCGCCATGTCGACCAGTTAGCTCTATCTGCAGACGGGAAAGACGAAGGAAATCTTGCTTATGAAAGAGCGACTCGATATTCGACTCGATAAAATCCTCCACAGCAGAGCACAGTCTGGAATAGTTTGAACGCTCAGCGAACTTCCACACGTGCAACCAGTTCTGAGGCAAGGACTTCTCAATGATGAAAGTCTCCAGCACGCCGATGACATCCACCATTCCAAACTTTCCCGCGGCCACMAGTACAGGGAAGACGAAGTCTGGTTGAACGTGTAAGGACGATGTGTAAGAATAATCCACTAATATTTCAACAGCATCTGGGTTAACACCATCTAATTCAAAAACTCGACAATCTTTACGGCTGGAAAAACTCTGGCTTAGTTTTGGAAAGGTTAAACTTAGGACCGCGCGATGCGCTGCTATCTCACAGCCGTCCACTWTCAACACAACATCACAAAATTTGGCTGCTTTTCGCTGCTCGTTTAGTCCTTTCAGCAGGGCTTTCTCGCGGCCAGACTGAATATAGGACAGCTCCGGAAGAGAACTCTCGGTGATGGACTGACTCATGGCTCTAAAAAGCTATTAAAACGAACAAACAACAACTTCAATAAGACGTGGATAAGTTCTTTACGGATATTCAATTCACCTCGTGTGACCATTTTTACACGTATACTATAAAAGACAAACCACTTTAAGCAAGCCTTCTTGAACGAAAACTACATTAACACTATAACAAGAGAATTTTACCTTTTTAACAAAGCAGAAAGCTGGACAGAAGTTTAATGCCGAGGGATGTGTTGATTTGTTTGCTCCCTCATTTGGGAGAGAAAAACGCCTGCAATAAAGCCAAAATAAATTATCTTTTCTAGGAAAWGTCCAATAATAGATGAAGCTAATAGAGCAAACTGCAAAATGACTTACTATATTATCGGCAAATGTTTGAATCTACAATTTCGAAAGAACATCTTTCGATCCCCTCTCGCCATTAGCAATACACTCACCAACGAAATATCCACGTGCCTGAGTCGAATATAATCGTGCGAGCTGTCACACTCCCTCTCTGATTGGATAATGCAGCAACATTGTCTTGTCAACCAATCACAGACAGGTTGCATTACATGACATTTTTATTTCATTTTTTACGAAATTTGGACTTTAAGCTCGTTTTCTCTTTCAATTTGTATTTTTTGTTATTTTTAACAGTTCTTGCTATTTTGGCTTTTTTATGTTTGATTTAGTGCCGTAAGTTGTGATGTTCAGTTCCCATGTGGTCCTAGGATTCCTGTACAACATCCTGTCACTAGCTCACGTTTCGGGAAATTGCTGACCTGACCCCTTTACTTTGTACACTATAGTCCTAAGGAGGTATTACCTGAATGCGCAATAGTTTTGCAKGGTAAAAATCGCAATGGACTCGACAAAATTACTACTCCTATCCTAAAATTYATAAACCCCCTTGGGCCCCCTTAATTTTCTTTTCGACTATTTGCGCGCACTAACAACTGTCGCTTGTGTTTATACAGATAAAACACTGCTTTTTTAATAACGGTGAACGAGTCAGTGCAGTGATCCTATAATTGTTTATGGATTAAATCAATACAATAGGCAATGACGCCTGAGTAGCTCACAACTGAACAAGCGGCCATTAATTAACTGATTATGGGTCATGGAAGCAAATTGAGTTGGCAAGATACCACTAAAGTCCCTTCAAAATAATACACATTTGACGCAATAAAACACAGTCCAAGTTGTGTAATTACGTCAATTACCGATCAATCTGGAATCTGGCCACCAATTACCAGACGTCACGTTCACTCACAAGTCCCGGCAAGCAACTTTCACCCCTGCGTCGAGCAAGTCGATCAAAACCAAACAATAAAAGTCTTAATTTGTTTGATTCATATCAGTTCATATGGAAAAGTTAGTTCAATAGAAATTTTACTTTCTAATTTTTAAAAGCCTTTGCCTGGTCACTGGAAGGAGCACTGATCAGGAGCCCTATCCAATGCAGGCGCTTAGCGTGCATTTTTTGGCACATGTTAGCGGGATCGCGACACATATTTTGGATCTTGGGATCTAACGACCGCCAAAGGCGGGAGTATTAAGGGAGTCTGGACCTTCCCCGGGAAATTTTTTAATAATATATAACTCTTTGAAATGCGATTTCCAGCATTTTGAGAGAAATCGAGGGCATATAAAAGGGATCAGTTTTATGTGAATTTTTCAGTAATTTTTGTGTGTAATATGCGTAAAGGACGCTACGCGCCTGCGATGTGCYCACATGAGACTGCCAACAGTGGGGAGGGAGAGACCTCATAATGACCAATAATTGGCTGCGAGAGAACACAGCTAAAAGATACCAGGCTGTTTCGAAAATACTGATTTTCATAAAAGGGCAGCAGATCATCCGGTGGTGGCCCSAAAACCTTTGTCGAACCTTTGAGACACCCTAAAAGTAGTAGTAGATACCCGCTTTTTATATGCTCAGCAAAAGATACGACGAYCATCCCCACCCTTTCATATATGGGAGTACAGTACACCCCCGGGGCGATAGAACATAGTTTGGTGGATACATGTGATATAACCTCCTCCGAACGCGTCTCGATCATCTCCTCCCTTGATCTCTAAATTAAATACCCGACTTACTGTCTCCTCTCTTCCATATAAGTATTCAAGGGAATCCAGTGAACTCGATAATTATATAAAGCTCTAGAACAGTGAGATGCCTGAAGGATCAGACATATAATGCGATAGTGCATAGTCCAAGSTCTGGATTAAAGCATCGTAAGTTGCCCKGGACTCCTGATTCTCAGAGCCAAAATTTTGTCGGATTCCGTGTGAATTTCAGTCAAGATTCCTACTTTTGCCGTGACACTAGTTTTTTAACATTCATTTTAAACCCTAGTAATGCATTTTAAGGGGAGTCTTAGAATCCATTATCGATCCTCCGATCCTTCAGTCAAAGACCGCGATGTTCATTTAGCTAAGTTTTAAAATGTATTTTTTTGGGGGAAATTATTCTATGATTTCAGAAAATTTCATTTTTCTGGTCACYAGACGCTCTTAGAGCGTTTACTCGAGTACCCGTTAGAGCGCGATAATCTAGTCAGAATTTTTAAAGACACTCTCGAAAACTCGTGTACAGAAGGTGATGAACAAGAAAATCCATCATTTCTGCTCTTGCTTTATAATTTGTCGGTTGAATTGTTGCAGTCATCTGTGATCTGACTGTATTGACTAATTTTTGTTTAACTGGAGGGAAAAAAATGATATGGATAGATTTAGAGCTGCTAATTAAATGTTTTTCAGAATAAGTCCTAGATAAATTGTTTTTATTGTATCCATTTATGTCATAATTCAAATTTCTAGGTTGCACTAAAATGGTCCGACTAGCCACCTTAATAAACYCCCAATCCTTCCCTGCATTCTTTATTGAATTATCAAAAATCAGGACTTGTTTGGAGAAATGCTTTTTTGTTTTTACAGAAATCAAAGCTTAAAATGTTTGTAGTAAATTGTCTTTCTTTTGTGCAATTCTCTATTTTGATGTGTTCTTCTTTGCCTTTTGGAATTTTTTTATAGAACATGTATAGAACATCTTTGCCAATATAATTAATATACATTAATAATGAATTTATTACAATTATTAAGATTGAAACACTATACATGTTTAACTAAAATTTGGAGTAGTTAATATTTTTATTTTATTTTATGTAGTTCTAAGCCTCCTTTGCCGGCAACTCTATTGTACGGGATTCCTTTGTTAAGGCAGAAAATTGGCCAAATTGGGGGGGGGGGGGGGGGGGGGGGGGGGGGGAGGGCTTAGAAGGAAGGAAAATCAATAGGAGTATTTGTTGTTCCTAACCTCTCTGTCACCAGTTTGTCTTGGTCAGGACAAATCAACACAGGAAGACCAAGGAAAGAAAAAATATGTTTCCTTAAAAAGTAGCCTGCGAAGGATGCTAATGTAGTTCCATGCATTTACAAGAAACTCTAACTTTCCATGCAATATATACAATCTAATATGCATTTTATAATTGTCAATAATGGAATTTTGTTCGTTTACTTGCGATAGTACTGTTGTTGAGGATATGGCGGTGGGGGTGCATTAACTACAGTATACTGCACTGATCCTGGTGGTGGTGGTGGTCCAGTCTGTATAACCTGGACTCCAGGTGCAGGATTGACAACTCCAACATTTGGGTAAGTGTTGATTGCCGTTGTCTGGTATACAACTGCTCCAGGCCTCACTACCACACCACGGTGACTTGGTCGTGGAGCAATAACATTGGCAGCAGCAGAAATGCCACTTGCGACAACATCAACGCTCTTRTCTACAAGTTTGTACACTGGATCTTCAGGGTTAACCCTTGGTTTAGGTCTGCCATAAGGGTAAGGGTTTCCAGTATATTGGACTGTGGTGGTTGGTGCAGCTGGTGGAACTCCTGCACTTGCTTGTCTTGTCATGATACCTCTGATAGTGTCTCTTTCCTGCTGATATGGGAAAACTTCGTTCCAAACGTGGAAGTTCAGAGGGTCAGTGATTTGTCTTGACAACAGTTGCACTGCTTGGACCTTCTTATTGTCCGATCTAAATGCTCTTAAGATCGTTATGATACCAAGACAAGACGCTGGGAGCATCTTTGCAGCAGCGGCTTGCAAAAACCTCATCCTGTCATCATCATAAGCATTCACATCGTACACAAGCAAGTCCCCAATTTGTTCAGCATAKAAGTTTCCCTGAGCATAAACAACTGCTTGAATTTTGTCTTCGACGAAAGGAAGACGACGTACTTCGCTCTTAACGATAGCGAAGGCTGTGGGATCCATAATTTATAACCGACAACTGGAAAGCGAGCTTCAACCTTGATGAAAATGTACTCTTTAAAATAGATCTCGGTCCTTAGAACAGATGATTTCAAAAAGCAAAGAACTTCAATATACCACACAGCGCTGATTCATCTGTCGATTCATCTAGGATATAACGAAACTCCCAAATATAAAGCTYGTTTCAAGCTATTTTCCTGCGATTACAAATATTCTAAATTTAGGCATCATTCGACCTCAATGACGTCATTATATTTACATTGGCYCAATAATCAGTTAGTCGATAATAGTCCGTACTTACTTCCGATAGCTTATCGATTRAGATTTGCTGCCACCAAAACACTGATGGCTGGTGATGGCTGGTCATATTTTAGAGAGAACGCTGAAAAGCGTCTTTAAATTTAATGATTTTAAGTCGAATTTACAAAGAAATGCAATAAGAACAATTCATGAAGGTTAGTCCTTGAAGTTCTTTCTWTATTTTAAATATTATTTGATTTATCAAGTAAGAAACTTCAACAAATATCTGTGGTCGACCAAGAATCGACAAAGTTCTCTTTTAAGAATTATCGAATAACTTACTATTTTAATTTTTATTGACAAAATTTGCATTACCAATTTGACATACTACTGGAATTAAGCTTATTATAAATACTTTTTTATCGATATCATTTTCGTGTAGTTAATGTCCCTGAGCTTTTATTCCAAGTTAAGTTATTCATTTTAAATGTTCATTTAAGTCTTGTCCAATTATTCATTCATTTTTCTGTTAATAAATTTGCATMGATGTATTGATTACATTATTTTTTTAGCCAATTCTCCACACTTYCATGTCTTCATATAATATTTTTCTATTTTGCTATAATTGATGTTTTAAGCTACATGTATAATAGCCTGATGCGACAAATACTCAATATTTTCTCCATTCTACMCCCTTTGTAAGTGCAAGAGTCTGTCATATACAAATTTAAAAACTTTTACCTGAGTAAACATTTTATCACCAGGAACTGTGTTGATCATCAAAAAATAAAGATCAGTACAATTTGAGCGACTAAGGAGATAACCATTCATGACATTTGAGGGGGAGGGGGTGGATGATTTGCTGTTAGAAATTTGCAAAGATTCCTAGTGAAAGTTTCGTCTTGTAGGAATTTTTTTAGGTCCTTTACAAGGGAGGTGTAGGAAAATTATTTTTTAAATCATCTACCACCTCCCTCAATGTAACGGTTAGCCCCCAATTAAGGTCTTACAATATCCACTCCTATATCTTGTATTAAAAAAGAATTTCAAAGTGATGAAGTTGTCCTTCAGTAGCATCGAGTTGTGCAATATAAAGTTGAAATTAGGCCATACGCTACAACTTTATATTAAAAAAGAATTGTTTTCATAATCTTTGTTTATATAAAACACTCTCTTTTTTTTTTTTTTTTTTTTTAAGTGTATCAATCTCTTCATTCGCTTTTTTTTTCTTTTCCAGGCAAAAAAGATGTTTTTATATCAATGCCAACAGGGTCTGGGAAGTCCCTTTGTTACCAACTCCCAGCTGTGGTAGCCCYAGGAATTACAGTTGTTTTCTCCCCACTCATTGCTCTCATTCAAGACCAAGTTTCAACTCTCCAAGGCTTGAAAATAAATGTAGAAACTCTCAATTCCAAAATCCCAGAAAGTGACCGCAAAAGAATCACAACAGATCTCTTCACATTCAACCCCAAAACAAAGCTTCTTTATGTCACGCCTGAGCTTGCAGCCACTCCAGGATTTCAGAAGATCTTAGCTTCTCTTCATAAGAGAGATTTATTGTCTTATTTTGCTGTGGATGAGGCTCACTGTGTGTCTCAATGGGGACATGATTTCCGACCTGATTATCTCAAACTAGGGAAACTTAAGGAGATATTTCCTGGGGTTTCTTGGATTGCATTGACTGCTACTGCTACYCCAAGGGTTAAGGAYGATATATTGACATCACTGGCTTTTGACCCAGTAAACACTGAAGTGTTTAAAACTCAATGTCACAGACCAAATCTTTTTTATGATGTAAGGTAAGCCTGTATTAATAGCAAGACACTTTTAATTGCTGTGAGCGAAGCAAGTAGCCTCCTATTCGGAACACAGTGTCGATTCTAGGATTTCCTTAACAGAACACATGGTACATACAATCAGCGGTTCAARTCCATACCATGCCGAGAGTCGATTCAATGATGTCCCTAACAGAACATGCCATACACACGGCCAGCGGTTGTACAAGTTTGGCCTGTGTTGTTGTGAATTGCGTTATTTTTTTTAATACTTTTTTAGATGCCAAGGTCATGAATCAGATTGGAATTTGCGAAACATGTAGCTTGAAAAAAAACGTATACTGCCTGAAGAAATTTGCGTTACACATAACAAGTTGCATCACACCACTACGATGCTGATGTGACCTAACATCTGTTATACGTTGTGAAAATGAAATAGCTACTCGCAGAACTCTCTTTCTATTAGAAATGACTAGTATATAATATATGATAAACTTGTCACTTTATAATATTATTAAATATAAGTCTGTCAAATGTCACTCCTTGAAATAAGGGTGACCTTCTCCTACCCCCTCCAGGCCTTTGTATTATTGATGTAATTTTATTGACATTATTGTGTTTTGTCATTTAGTTTCAAGGAGCTTCTAGAGGAGCCTTATGAGGATTTGAAATCTTTTGCTGATTCAGCATTAAGTGAGGATCATGKCAAGGTTATTGCAGTCTTTATTTTTCCTTAAATCATTATTATAGATGATGATGATGCCGATGATGCCGACGACAATGATGATGATGATGATGACAATGCCAAAATGAATGAATTTATGTATAATAATATAATAGTTAACAACTTGAGYAGCTATGTTGCCATGGGAATCATCACATGCAAAATGTAAACTGAGACCTTTGCCAATGTTGGCTTGACTCACTGATGGCGATTGTGTTGTAAAAAAGTGTCAGATTTCTAAGGTCAAAGTGTTTATTCTTTGCTAATATTGATTTGRTTGAGATAAAGTGTTTCGATAATACCCTAGATTGAATTGAATTTTCTCCTGATGGTAGGGAAGTGGTATTGTGTACTGTAGGACAAGAGATGCTTGTGTTGAAGTTGCATCAAGACTATCAAGAAAAGGACTACTTTCTAAACCATACCATGCAGGTACTTTACAGTCATTATATACCAAAATCATGTTTCATTGTGAAGGGTGTCAATGGGGTTAACTGACTAGCGTAGAAGGCTGTTTTTTCCTAGTCGTAAGCGTATAACTAACGAAGATTGAACTGCTTACCGTATAAAGTAGTAGCGTCCAATTTTAACATATTTCACTTTCTCATAATTATTGTATCAGACCATCATTCAATGGTTGCTTATAAAAAGTAGTTGATATTAATTTCTTGTTTTAGTAAACATATAAAATTTATAGTTTGGAAGATTTTCTTTGTCCTCGATGCTATTTAGCGATGTGTGAGWCATGATCAGTCATCTGTGACAAGAGTAACGTCAATGTTATCGAAGCATGACACGAAATGAAATTATGGGGTGTATGAGCCTGCAATGTTTATATTTGGTTACCATGGAAACAATGCAACAAAACATTATTTTAYCGACAACAAACTCCACTGTAATTGTATTGCAAAACACTTACTGCTACTGACTGATGGTTACCGTAGTAACTGATTGATTTACTGACCTAATGCCAGGAAATCAGAGTATGACTGACGCTGCTCTTGTAGTTAATCACTTTCATGACATCAGCATCTTTACAGCTCATTGCCTTGTACAGTCATTTAAAATTGAGTCAATTAAAGTGAGTTGAGAAACTATGAATTAGGATTTATGATGATTAACATATCAGGCCTCAAAAATGGGAAAAGAGAAGAAGTCCAACAAGAATGGATGGATGGGAAAGTTGCCGTCATTTGTGCCACTATCAGCTTTGGTATGGGTGTAGACAAAGCCAATGTTAGGTATGTTAAGCTATATTTTTATTGTTTAGTATCCACCAAACTATGGGTTATTACAAATCCAGAATTCTGATTGGCTACTAAACTAGAGTCTATTGATGATAACTAGGATCATGGTCACATTAAAAGAAGCAAAAATGGCTAAAAAGATGTTTAGAAAAATTGTTAATTTGCCCTTTTAAGCTTGGTGTATGCTTGTCTCTGCTCACAGCCACAACCCCTGATTTTGTCAAATTTCCTTGACCTGTCTTTTGGGTGGGACAAGAAGCCCGACAAAAAGGAGAGGCTGCAAAGGAGACTAGGTGGATGCAGCCTCATTGGCTATCTGCTTGTAATAGCAATGTAGATTTGCGAATTTCACCTCAATAGTAAACACAAAAGAATCAAGACGAGTCTCTGTGGGTAAAGCTCAGTCAACCATGAAAAACTGTTGTCTTTTCACGAATGACTGGAGTAATAGTTGTCGTACCTATTCCATATATAGTTATATTAACTGACAAGCGTATAGCAGTCCCTGACAAGTGAATAGAAGCACCTAACAACCGAATAGCAGTCCCTAAGGAATCCCAATTTACCAGTGCTATTAGCAATGCAAAATACTTTAAATGTCACAAACAATTCGTTGTTTGCCAGCGTAATCTCTTGTGGTCAAGTTAGTTAAGGCGCTTTACATTGGTAGTCGAAGGGTTAGGTTTAGGGAAAAGGACGGGTCAGGCTATAAAATGTTAAATTCATAAGTTAAAATTTGATAAGAAAATTTTTAATAAGTTATTGCATTAGCTAAAAAGTTCGAATAAGTCGATAAAAAACAGCTGTAGAAAAATATACAAGTGAAAAAAAGTATGGACCCCTGTTCGCTTGTTATAAGGTGCTTCTATTCGCTTGTTAGGTGCTTCTATTCGCTTGTTAGGTTCTTCTATTCGCTTGTTAGGTGCTTCTATTTGCTTGTTAGTTTGTCCCATATATGACTGAGCTTTATGCACGGTGCCTCGTCTTGATTCCTTTTTGTGTGACTACTAAGAGGCAAAATTCGGCTATCCCCTTGTGGTCTAGATATCCCTGAAAAAAATGCCTTACACAATTTCTTTCATTTCCAGTTACCTGAGATTATAAATAATATGCTAATCTTAAACTCAGGGTCTGCACATTGGCATATATCAGCCTACATTTATTTGTATTGAATTTGCAAAGGTTTATAGCTCATTGGAACCTGCCTCARTCAATGGAAGGGTACTACCAGGAGTCTGGCAGGGCTGGCAGAGACRGCAAACAAGCCTACTGTAGATTGTATTATTCCAGGTAACTTGAGAAAATATTCCTTTTCTTGGTTCAAAGTGAGTGACCACTACTTTATTTTATTACTAAAGACTCTCAGATCTTTGTACATTAGAGGTGTTTGTAAAAAAAAGTCCATTCATTTTTATAATTTTTATACTAGAATGATGTAGGAGTACAAAAACTCTGATTAGTCAACAAGTGTGATTTGTTTTGCCAGTAAATACTTGCTCTTGAGCATAAAGAACTTTACCACACACATATCGGTGAAATAGAACACTTGGGGGTGTTATGAGAACGCTTAAAACATCTGAAAAATCACTTGTTACGCTTTTGATTTTTTAGATCTCGGTTGATGTTCTCCCAACATACTTCATTTCATAATAATAATAAGGGTTTATTTTAAATTCATTTGTAGTTTAAGAAACTAAATTACAGAATTAAGCTCTAACATATAAAAATGTGTAAGATATAATACATACAATTTTCTACAATTTTCTACAATATATACATACATAGTTACAATATATACAACATAATCAATTTTCACTAATAAACGAACAGCAATCCATCATTTATTTGCTTAAATATTATTATTTATTCTCCTTTAGTAGCTAATTTATTAATATTTGTTTTAATCTTTTCAGGTCTGATAGGGATCAAGTTTGCTTTCTTGTTAAGAACAGTATGAAGAAAAGAGAGGTAAAAATAAAATGATTATATAAAAATAAGTAAATAGCTAGAAAAATTGTTTATTCAAGTTTTTGTGTTTAGACTTTTTTGTATTTTTGTTTGAAGACCAGATCATTTGCAAGTATCCTAACAATAYATAATGTACCATTTATTAGGAAAAGGTCAATTCCAGTATCAAAAACAAAGCAGTAGAAGCAAGTTTTAATGCTATGGTGAAATACTGCGAAGAACCCAGGTAAACGATAATGAGCAAATCAATGATAGCAAATCTTTGACGTGCTATTCTTTTATACAAAAGGCACCCCTTATTGCAGTGCATGSCATGCCGGGATATGCACAGGGGTTTCTTAAAGGCGTTCCAGCTGGTCACTCCACTAAGGAGGGCCATGGAATTAACACATTATAGTCTTGGATTCAACACTGTTTTAACGGTACAACCAACGGGAAAGATATGTTTTGATAGAGGAAATCTCAATTCGCAATATATGCAATAAATATTCCTTTTCTAGTTGTAGACACAGTAAGATTGCATCATATTTTGGAGACAGAAAGCCCGAGGTATGTGTACAATGTGTGCAAGAAAAACATGTTAGTCCAATCATTTTGCGACGATAATGTAGCACGATTATTGAATTTGTTAACTTTACCATACAAATAGAATTGCTACTGTCTCTTTTCCAGTGCAAGAAAGGATGTGATATCTGCAAGAATCCGAAGTTTGTGAGCTGTCAGCTTGAGATGTGGCGTAGAGGAGTGTTCGCTGGTAAAAACAGACAACAAGCAAGGTCAAGCACTTATATCAGTCATGATCCAATCAAAGGTGACGACCCAGAGCTGTATGGTGGAGGCAGACATGGCTATGAAGTCAAGTGAGGAGGGTTTTTATAATTTCAGATAGTACACGCCATCTGATTGGTCGAGAGAATTTATAGAGTAATATAGTAGAGTTTTCATTTCGAACGTTTTCTGTTATCCAAATCGATATATTCCTGAAACTCAATGCGTTTTTACTGTGGCACTATTATATATTTAAGTAATTGTCTTTTCCTATAATGACGTCATGCATGTGTTGTCGAAGTGCACCGTGGTATTCCGGAAAGTACCAAGATGGCGGATATCTTATAAAAACTATGGAGAGAGAACTTTCTTTCCGAAACCTTTTGAGGAGCATTACTATGATGCCTAAGCACTAGAGAATGTTACAAGACCTGTCTGGAAAATAAATAATGGTTCTTGTTCGAGAAAAAAAGTCTGAAACACCTAAAACACAAACGAAAAAAAAATATGGCTCAGTTTTTACTTTCTTCAATACCATGTTGCATCAGGGGGAAGACAGGGCGACCATTTCGAATGGAGAGCAGTTGACCGTGCGTCAAAGTCCTGCTACTTCTATTGTACATGGTATTATAGCCTCTATATTAGATTAGAATCGATATATGTGGTCAAGTTGTTGATATAAATATTACTGGACATCAGTGAGAAAAATCTTGTTCATGTACCACCAACATTCGAGGTCATCTGGAAAATGGACATTGCCAGATCATTTTGCGCTTTGCAGTAAAATGTTTCTGATGCACTCTTATCACTAACCGGTTTTTTATTAGCAAAATTATGAATTATTCACGCTTCTAATAATGGAAGTTCTCTTTCTAGACATTTTGARGACGACGAAGGCGACAGCGATAAAAGTTCAGAAGCAGAAGACGACGGAAAGGACTTCAGACAAAATCTTATCAAAAGTGAGTTCAAGAAGAGAAGCCGTCGGCCGTCATCTCGAAGCCAATCCACCACCGAACCGGAAGCACCAACCTGGGACTGCCCCCTTAAGGAGGCTTCCAACTTTACCCACATCAGAGGCTTGTCGGTGAAAGCGCGCCAGCATTGTTTGAACATAATAGAATCTGCGCTGAAAGACAATGCCAGGGAATGTGGTATTGTCAGTGAGCTCAATGTGCTTCTTCACCAAGCTGAACGTAAAGCCATTGATTTAGAATACGACGTTTTCCTCAAAAGTAAAATCCACACTACATATCGGGCTAATTGTATMAAGAAAGCAAATGAAATCAAGGAGAGTACAAAGAAGGGAATTGAGTATGATACAGGGAAGAGCACGGAGTCTCCTATTAAGAAAGAACTTGTACATCCAAGACTTATTGCTGAGGACACTATATATGCTGATGAAGATGAAATAGATGATGATGATGATATATTTTGCATGCTTCATCCAAATGAACAGCCAGTTAAAAAAGAACCAACTTCTGATAAAAGTGTGATTAAAAGTAAGAAACGRACAGGAAGACCGTCTCCATTTGTTTCAGCTCTTGAGCTGCATAACTCTGGATCGGACGTTGAGCGCTTAAGTGACAACAGTCGTAAAGACAGCGAATCAGATTTTGACAGAAAACAATGTGCTAAAAAGAAAAAAGGAGCTTTTGTCACAGCTAGACACATGCTATCAAGCRCATCYACAACCTCAGMAAAAASCCTTTCAAAATCTCCCAAAAAGGAAAAGGTTGGACAAGCACGGAAAAACATYGGGAAAGCTTCGGAAAGTATTCGGACCTCAAAAGAGGAATCGAAACATCWTAAGTCCAAGACATGGCCGTCTCAGCGGGTTAAAAGTGAGGTTGAAGCAAATGATTCCTCTAGACATGAGAAGACGCGGAGGAAACCTTCAGAGGAGAAATCTAAGCTACGAACCAAGCGTAAAAACAAAGTAAAATCTKCATCTATTACAAGTTTTTTTAAACGAGATACCAAAGATGACGACAAATCAGAATTGGTGTCAGAAGTGGGACAGGAATCCCCTATGTTAGAAACCTGGTCGGGCAGCCCTTCAGCGCTATCACCTCTACCATTACCAATGTTCACAGACCCAACTCATGGGGGAGGGGTAGTACCAAACTTTTCAGCAGGGGATACGTCTTTCAGCGCGTTGGTACGTAAGCGTTTTCTCGACGGCGGAGATTCAAGTAATTGCGGTTCTTCATTCAAAAAACCCAAACTCAACTCCAAGCACGATGTTCCACAGTTCATTGACTTAAGTACAGATGCTCTTGGAGAAGACATTTATAGCGATGAATTCGTTGAAGACGAATTGAATAGTGCTAGTAATCTCAAACGTGAAAAATTCGAGAACTCCTCGGAATTTGTTCGAACGCTTGACATGGCTTCAACAACAGATGAACATTTCAGAAGTGAATCATCGGAAGGGGTTCGGACGTCGGAAACTGTATCGTTTGTAGATGAAGATCTGGATAAATCATCGGAAGTTGTGATGACGTCGAAACCAGTACCGAAGATAAGTACAAATGTCGGGAAATCGTCGGGATTATTTCGGGCTTCCGAAAGTGAACCGGCAAAGGTCAGCACTGAAAAAGAGATGCATGATAGGGTGGATCACAAGCAAAGGATAACAAGCATAGTTRCAACTAGTGATGTTAAAGATTTGAAGAAATCCCCGGCAACAGAAATCCAGAAACAATCTACGTTTGAATATGATTTTCTACCRAGTGCAATATCTGCACCTTCAGCTCAAGTGCCGCTATCGTCTAAGCATGCCAAAACCAAAACGAAGTCACCAAAGGGACATGTCAAGCAAGTGGCAAACGTTGTGGTCAAGTATTTGAGTCCGTACCTAAGTGATGGCCGTATAACYACCAAGGTAATGACGTAATTTAATGAAATTTCCAATAGAATCTTTGCAATTGCACCAAATARATTTCGAGCACTTGCTTGGGATCTAAAAAAAAAATCATCCACCCTCAATCAACCCCCTCAAAAGTCAAATGGACAGCCCCTTACGACGAGTTCAAGCGGAAACAATAGATAATTTCGATGACCGTTCAGCCAGAGTTTCAAAATAGACCAAGGTTATTATGGGGAGCAAAGATGGCCGAGCGGTTACAACACCGGTCTATCACCGCTGTGGTCATGGTTCGATTCCCGGTCCGGGACTTTATGTGATTTGAGTTCGAGTTCTCTTCCTTGCTCCGAGGGTTTTTCTCCAGGTACGTTGGTTTTCCTCCCTCAGTCAAAAACTATCTGTGAGAAGTGTCGTATTCTAAAGCGGTCAATGTTTGAGGTAGAGTGTGCGAGTCTGAGTCTCCCCAATTATTAGGACACTTATTGTCTGGCTAGAGCGTTGAGACGTTAAATACAGTTATTTTATTTATTATTATTGAAACAATGTTCGAGTACATATAAACCGGAAAAGTGAAGTTTCCACTATTCATTTAGTCGTTACTTACTTGTTATCATTTTCTTATTTTCTTATTTTTATTTATTTTTTATTTATTTATTATTTCCTCAAACAAGTATTGTGTTTTCTGTGTGTCAAAGGAGGGGTAAGAGTTGAAATCATTTGACATCCTACAATATGAAGTATAGAAACTCCTTTAAGGTCCGAATCCGACAAATTTCTAGACATTATTTTCTCTGTTGATGGTTTTTAGGAACTCTTCAAGTCATTAGCCAGGAATGTCACGCACAGCGTCGTCGAGTCAAGTTCAAAGTTGCAAGAAAAAGATTGTAAGTACTAATTATCTTAGCCAAGCATCGACGAAAAACTAGATCACATCCTACTCGGGAACCTGGGGCCAYCTTCTGTCCGGAACAGAAGATTTCCCCTCGCTTCTCTAACGTTGATCAGAATGGAATAGAAACTCGCTCGCTACATTACTAATGTGTATGTTTGAGCATTTTCTTTATTTCCTTTTTTTTCTACTTCTTCTTCTTCTTCAATATGCGCACTAGTCTGCGCAAATTTTCCTGCGGTCTTATCGCTTTATATCTTTTATCCTATACTATCCTAATTTCATTCGTTATTTTCATATCCATAGTAAAAAACATCGTCAAACTAACCATAAAGAAGCTATTTGCGCACTGCAAAACGTACAGCAGCGATGACATGTGGGAGGCATTTAACCGAGTCTAGAAGAAGCCCTTAAAATTAGGCTACATGTGTAAGACCGTGTATTGGAGCCACTTCTACCACAGGAAGATCAAAAGAGCAAATATTTCAAGTGTTGCTTGTCGAGTAATTTATTCACTCCAAACGTATAAGGACATGTGGGTATGAATTGCCAATGCATGTATTTGTGAGAATCCAATTCTATAGATCTTTTCGCGGTAAAAACCAAAGTGAGCAACATATTTTTTTCATCCCATAAATGACCAAAGAGTGACAAGTCAAGAATTAAAATTACTGAATGTGGTCACCAACAAAAAATATATTTCTGACGTTGCAAAAAGATAAACAAGGAAAATTTTCGGATTGTTGCCCTAACTTGCTTCGCTTTGGTGCAAAACCACAGGCCAGGTCCCTCGCACAACCACGAAAAGAGCTATATGTTTTTTTTAAAAACATTAAAAAAATACCGGGCGTTTCTCCGTGGAAAGCACCCATATCGCACCTTGAATATTGTTGACTTTTACAGACTTTTTGCAAAGCGTTGTATACAATWGTCTACTTTAGATATTTTGGTTCAGTGACCATGCAYAAMAGAATTGCAGACGAGGCTCCGGGGAAATAAAAGAATAAATCAAGATTATCCATTGTTTCCCCGGAGCCTCGTGTGCGTTCTTTTGTACATAGTCATCGAACCAAAATATCTAAAGTTGACTATTCGGGTTAATTATCAGTATCACAGTACAGCAAGAAATTGAAAAAAGAGAATTATTATTGTTATAGGAAGTACATTGTTTATGAATGCACTAAGGGAAGAAAAGAGTTACTTTTCTACAAAATATTCTGTAAAAAAGTTGATGTTCTGTGAATTATTTAATTCAAAAATATTGGATATTTATTGTAAATGGAAAAATAGTACCAATTATGAACTATTGAGAATTAATTGTATCTATTATATATTGACACTATTAAAGTCATGAAAATTATTGAATGAAAAGCTATGGTCCACTTGTGACTTCTTGTTTCACTTTGTTTTTAAATGATTTTACAGTCAAAATAACCTGTGAGACTTCATTAAAACTGACCAATAAGAAAGCASCATATAGAATGATATTGCATGTTTGCATACCGGAAGGCATGTCTGGGAGCCAGGTAGCAAGTCCCCAAATAGTCAACTTTAGATGTTTTGGTTCGATGACTATGTACAAAAGAACGCACACGAGGCTCCGGGGAAACAATGGATAATCTTAATTTATTCTTTTATTTCCCCGGAGCCTCGTCTGCAATTCTTTTGTGCATGGTCACTGAACCAAAATATCTAAAGTCGACTATTAGTCGCCAAATCCGTTTTCAACCTATCATACCTAGTAATCATATATAGAATTCCAGTTCGTTTCTTACCTTTCTGGGCTCAACTCTCAGCTCTCATCTATGCATATTCCCTTAGCTTCCCACTTTTATCTACAAAAAAAAACAATTAGTTATCCCCGATCCTAGCGCTAAAAGTCTGATCCGATGGATTCTCAAAGTATAGTAACAATCTCGTTCCCTAGCCTTCGTTTTCTTGGACGCTGGCGTTTCAGTGACCATGCACAAAATTGTCATTTCCATATCATTTCATTCGTGTGGGGTCCCTGTGCTTTTTAGTTTTGGGCTCCCTTTAGCAAATCCATACCATATATGGAAAAAAACAAAATGGCCGATTGTCGAAAAGTGTTTTCGCTATAATATCTGCAAGTTTCAGACGATTTCATGCTTAAAAAGTCGAGAAAATCTCCAAAAATCATTCCTATCGTACCTCCAAATAAGGTAAGATTACCATATATGGCTGCTAAACGAAGGACAACTTTTCTGGGGCAATTTGATGCAGCGTTTTGAGGCGTTATCAATTTTTACGCGCACACACGGTCAGCGATATTATCCATAAATCACAAAGGCTTCGCAAAAAAGCTTCAATTTTAATTGTTCACGCTCAGTTTTTACACATTTTTTATAGAATATATGTGGTGAAATTTCATAAGGAGGCTCTACGCTTCTTTATTTAAGAAAATTCAAAATGTCGGAAAAATTATTGGGGGCTGAAGTTGAACCCATCGGCTCCTCCAAGAATTTGATACTTGAGCCCAAAAAATAACTCTGATCGCGGCACCCTGACTTACTGGACCACGAGTTTTTGTGATGTATAGTATGTGTGGATATATATATAACGCTTTTAATTTATAGTTAAAGATATAGATTGGTTACAGTGCMGGAAGTAAATCTATTAAAAGGACCTGGCATGGACAACTGTTTTAATGATGTGAGCGGCTCTTGAGTTTCAATGACATGATCAAGACACAAGAATCCCTCGAGAATTAAAGCAGCTCTATCGCCTCCATGTTGGATGAATGAACAAAAGAAACTAATGAGGAACTATCGTCATCCAACATGGCGGTGATGACGTAACATGACTCCGAGTGTATTAGTATTTTCTCAACTAAAGCATGACGGGTAGCCTAGCAGTGAAAAAGCAAGATAATTCTTGAACTCGCTTCAGCCCTTGTATCAGCTATTACATTTGCTTGGCGAGTGAAAGTCAGGCTTTTAAGACAGCATGCCATGCCTCATTAATAATTTTCTTAAAAATTAATATCCATTGGATCAAAGTCTGATTGCTTTTAAAGCTCTTTTGTTTGGAGAAAAAGAAATGAAAGAAATCGCAGTATCCATACACTTTGGAGTGCGTTCAGACTTCCACGAGGTACGAGACATTCTCGTACCCAGACTCTCATACAAAACCCGTCAAAACCAAGATGGCGGACGGAATATGAGCGATCTTGGCAAACAACARATAAAGCCGAAGTGCAACCATTTTTTCGATCCTTTTTGGCGTTCAGTGAGATGTCACAGGGGACTTGGAGGTCCCCACAGGACTTTATTACAGTTTCCATACCTCACAAAGACAGTGATTATGATAACAGCAAGGATAGACGTTCACAATCATTATACCGGGTGAGTAGTAAAGCTTTTTGACGCCTTGTTCAATCAGTTGTTGGCTTATGATGGTAATTTTTCACGTCTTTTAAGCGCGATTATTTTGTAAAAACAGTGGATTCATAATGGATTGAAAAACAACGGTATTCAAACTCGATTAATGAGTATTTTTGTTGGCTATGAAAGAGTTCATTATTTTTTCACGTCATAAAAACATACTTAAACTCTTGTTATGATGATTTGAACTTAAGTTTATAACCTTCACACTCTTACTTTGATAAATAAAACGGAAAATAACATATAAAACAGAACGAGAGTTTCTCCTCAGAAGCATTTTGCTATTTATAATTACATATTGAGAACAATTAAAGACATTTGACAGCTTGTTTTACAATTCTTGCTAAGCTTGCGTCAATGTTGCCACGTCACAAACTRTGTATCGTGTAGTTTATACTTGGATACAATCTAAGCTTATCATTTTTTTTTTTTAATCTTCAATTCAAAACGAGCCCTTGATACATGCAAGTTTGAATATTTTRAAATAACATCTTTTTTAGGTTATAAATTATTCAGAGTTTTACTTAAATGTGTTGTCTTAAAACGCCTAGGTTTTAACTTGAAAACAAATAAGTCTTAATGATGGTTTGCTATCATGCTTAAAAGTCATTTTTCACRATCCAAATATAATATAAACAATGTATTTATCTCAGGGCAATGTCTACGATTTTTTTTAGTTAACTACTAAATAAGTTGACAAAAAGCCTATTATGTTTTCACCTGCCACATTACAAGGTCATTGTATTGTTGGCCTATATCAAAAAGGAATGTTTTTTTTTGCTTGCCTTGTGTATGCAGGGCTGCCAACTCTCCTAGAAAATCTGTCTCAAGAACATTTTGGCTGAATCTCCTGTACTCAAGATTGAATCATTTTTCAGAGAAAATTGCAAAACTTTCATGTTTATAGTATACCAAATGAATTTGTAGCTGATTTGGTTGAACAGTGCTCAATACACATTAGTGCAGAGCAAAACATACAATATGTGATCAACTACAAGGAAAACACCMATGATTCTCTGTGACTCTGCTAAGCTTGATGAGGCTCCGATTTTGCCATTGATACCCCCCCCCCCCCCCCCCCAGTTATTCGTCTCCTTTGCAAAACTTTTTTTAATCAATCTATGTTTCTACAGTATGTATTTGATCATCTTTGAAAATGATACAGGAAGCCCAAGAAGTTACAMTATAAAGTCACACTAATTTTTCATGCTTTTACTAAAAGTACATTTTATATTATTGAAGAGCTCCAAACATTTTTCAGATTGAGGACRAGTCAGGAAACAAGAGTTCTTTCAATATAAATAACATTTTCAATTGTAATTTTGGGGCTTCCTGTTTCCGTCACTTTAGTTGTAGCCTGACTACAAACCGTAAAGGCCTCTAGTTTGAGTAAATCTCATATTTGATTTAAGGAATAAAAGACGAAATTCCGTGTTTGATACTCTGATCAAAACACGCGGGATGTAGGGAGAGCACGAGAGAAGCGTAGGAAACCACGACGTGTAGCGGAGTGGTTTCAAGCTTTTCAAGTGCTCTCCCTACATCCCAAGTGTTTTGATCAGATTATCAAACACGAAATTTCGTCTTTTATTTCTTTTCTAAAATTAAAAGAAAAAAAAGAAATTTTTGACGCGCGCAAGCGTGTTTTGATACTGTAATCAAACAYGGTTTTCGACCAATCACAGCGCGCGTAGTATCCTAAATATTTTAGAAAACATTTTGTAAGTATAGTTTWAAACACTTTCTCGAGTGTTTTTTAAAATGGCTTAAAAAACTCCAACACTTATTTCAAACTCAAATCCGTTAAAATTCTTGGAGAAATGAATACGCATAGAGTAAAATTGGAGTGCTGATGGCTGTTTAATGCAAGCAGTTGACATCCTGCATTGGTCAGTGATCAGGTTTCAAACCTGAGACCTTTGCTAGGGTCATGGACCTTTATATCTGACAAAGGTCACCCTTATTAGTATTCTTTATATATTATAAAGAATACTAATTAGGAGTGTTTTATAAGATTTATAAAGATCCTTGCATGTGACCAAATAGGCTCATTCAATTGGCCTAATAACTCATTAATTATGTATGAGTTTTTTAATGTTGTTTACTTATTTTTGCTTCAGAAATGGAAAAGTCTCTCATCATTCCAAAGGACAACAATTCTCATATTCCTAGGTATATTTTTAATTACTATTTTTGTCTGGTATCAGAGAAATAAAACAAACATTGAAGAAAATGACATTTTGCRTAAACATACACTGCATAAAGTTTCTGAAAAGCACATATTTCCTGTTAAAAAAMCCGATAGAGATTCCATACTTCGCAATAGTATGAATGAACTAAAAGAGCTTGCCAAAAAGCAAAATATTCAGTTGAAAAGAGGACCTCCTAAGTTAGATGCAAGGTTGAAATTGATACAACAGAAGGGAAAAAAGCTAGAAGATCATGCTGAAAAAAATGTAGATGTTAGAGGTGCAGAAATAGAAAATGGTCAAATACATGGTGACAACAATAACAGTGACAGGGGGGGTGATAACGGTGGTGATACTGCTGGAGATGGGGACTTTGTAAAAGAAGCTCAAGCTATTGACAGGAATGGTATAAAACTGCTCCCCCCTGACAAAGTGAATGATCGCCAGAAAGCTGTTATTAATGCATTTAAGCATGCCTGGAAGGGTTATAAAGCATTTGCGTGGGGTCATGATGAGTTAAAGCCATTATCAAGAACTTACAGTGAATGGTTTGGTGTTGGTTTAACTATTATTGATTCTCTCGATACAATGCTATTGATGAACCTACAAGAAGAGTTCAAGGAAGCACGTGAATGGGTTTCTACTAGCTTAACATTTGATAAAAGAGTTGATGTGAATTTGTTTGAGACAACTATCAGAGTTCTTGGAGGATTGCTAAGTGCTTATCATCTTTCTGGTGATGAATTATTCCTTGGGCGTGCAGTAAGTAATAATATTTTCTTATGAAATAACATCATATTGGCTGCTAGCAAAGTTGGGACGTTTATTTATTTATTTATTTATTTTGTTTTTTTTGTTTTCCTCTACCTGAATGAAGAGATAAACAAATGAATAGACAACAAAAAAGCTATTTTCGAGAAAAAGTTATTGATGGGTTGGCGTAGCATCCTTTCCAGGCAACTCTAATCCGTGGGGTTCCTGTGTTAAGGCAAAAAAGTGCCGGAGGGGGAGGGGGTTAGGAAGGAATGAAAAGCAGGAGGAGTTGTATCCTAATCTCTCAATACCAGCTCTTCTCGTTCAAGATTATGAACACAGGAAGACCAAGAAGAGAAAAATGTCAGTAGCCTGTGAAGGAGGCTAGGGTTGGTGGTTTTTGAAAATTTCTCAAAAAAAAAAACTTTTTCAAAAGAACCGCCTCCTCGACAATGTCTTATTGATACGAACCCACTCTCTAAATTCTTCTGACAAATTAGGAATTACAAAATGAAAGAAAGAGCAAACAAATGAGACAAGAAAAGGGATGAATGGTACTTTTCATTGTAGAAAGTTAAACCTGTTTTTTTTTATATATATATATTAGATAGATTTAGGGGATCGTCTCCTCCCAGCATTCAATTCACAATCTGGAGTCCCATTTTCTGATGTAAATTTACAAACTCACCGAGCACATGCACCAAGATGGGGACCAGATAGCTCTGTCTCTGAAGTGAGTACCATCCAACTGGAGTTCAGAGAACTTACTTTCCTTACGAAAAATCCACAGTACAAGGTAGGAAACTTTTGGAGTCTGAAATGATTTATAACTTCTATTAAAAACAAGAAAGTTAATAATCAGGGATTATATCAAAATGACTATGTATTTGATTGAAGAGTAAAATTAGAATTTCAGGATGCAAAATTTTGATTTTCAAAGTAGTGCAAATTAGACAGGACAATTTTTGAATTTGTAGTACATTCAACAAAATAACTCTTTTTCATTGGTCGAGAGGAGTGCAATTACAGCATTAATTGTACTCCTTAAAAAATTTCTTGAATGTACTATAAGTTACAAAAAATCACACAACCTCTAATTTTTCGGGCTAGTGCAATTACGAAGATCTTTCAAAACATTAATTGTGACTATTAATTCCAAATTGTACTCAAGGTTGTGTGATTCCCACTCCTTACAGCCAATCAAATTGCACTAATCAACGGCAATTTCAAAATCAGTGTAATCAAATGGAAAGCTGTTAAAGCATGCTGATATTTCTGATTTTTTTAAGGATATGGTTGACAAGGTCAGCAAACATCTACATGGTCTTCCCAAAAAGAATGGACTAGTACCAATATTCATCAATGCCCAAACTGGCCAGTTTAAASCAGCATCCACCATCACATTAGGCGCACGCGGTGACAGCTACTATGAATACCTCTTAAAACAGTGGTTACAAACAGGAAAGACCGAACAATGGTGAGCTACATAACTAGTGTATTTTTATCTCAATCTGACTCATCTCAGCTGAAATACAAAACCCACAGACAGCCCAAGATAATGATTACTGCGGGCATAAATATGATTATGAAACAAAGAGTTTTTTTTTTACAGAGTTTATATGGGAAACARAACGGGAAATTTAAAAGGTGACAGCTTACGGGAGATGGTCGCTTAMCAGAGTGATCGTTCAAAGAAAGTCAACTGTATATGCAACTAGAGTAAATTTCGTATGAGTGGGAAACGTACGGTAGAAATTACCGCACGGTTACCGCACAGTTACCGGACCTGGCCTTCACAATTTTTGTGAACCAATGGGGCACTAGAATTTGGTTACAGTACGATTACAGTCACAGTACAGTACCGTCCGTTTCCCACTCAAACGAAATCCGCTCTATAATACATATAATAACGAATAGGCAAGATTTGCTGTTACTCCGAGTTTCGTGTTTACGCACTCATCAGACAGTATTTTTTATTATCAACTATAATTCATGGAACAGATTTCGCAAATAAAAACTTCTAAAACAGCTACAAT